TGCATTGATTCAGGTACGAAAAAATTTTCGCCGCATGTAAAAACCGGTCTTTCTCTATATTTGATACATCATCATTGTATACCATAGGATAAAACATTAAAACCAATTGTCGAAGAGTATGCAAAGGATGAAGAGTTATTTTTCAAAGATTTTGCAGCAGCATTTCATAAACTCGAAGAGCTCGGATTGCAAAGAACTGGACAAGAGAAAGTGTACATTTTTAAGAGAACTAGTGAATAGGTTGTCCATTATTAAAATAAATTATTTCTAGAAATAGAAACCATGTAATTTATTGGAGTGAAATTTTTTACGGCAAACAATACTATGATTGTGATTCTGATGACATAATAGTTCAAATCAATCATGTGATTGATAAATTTTATCGCTAGATGTTGAAATAAAAAAAAAAAAAAAATTTTTTTTTTTTATATTAATAATTTATATTATTTCTATTGGCCCGATTTAATTAAAAATATATAGTATGTATATACGTATGACAGAGCTTTCTCAATTTGTAATATAGCACTTTAATTTATCACTCTCGTAAGTTTGAATCATGAATCCTATTACGTTCTTGTCCCGGACAACTCGTCCACTTTTAAGTCGCAAACCGATATCTTTCTCAATACCCCCTTCTATACACAATTTCCGATATCCCGCAGCCTACTTTGGGTCTAGCACTGTCCGTAAAAAAGTCAGCCATGTAAACTCTTATACGCAACCACCCTCTCCGAACGATGTTTTCTTACAAGGCAACGCGGCAAACTACATTGAAGAAATGTATAATTCCTGGTTAAAGGATCCGTCATCTGTTCACTTGTCATGGCAGGTGTACTTTAAAAACATAGAAAACGGTGTAAATCCAAAAGTTGCATATCAACCTCCACCGACCATAGTTCCTTTGACTGGAATGTCTACTTCCGTGGTTCCAGTAGCTCCGGTTTCTAGCTCTCACGTGGACGATCACATGAAGATTCAACTTTTGGTGAGAGCTTACCAAGTCCGAGGGCATCACATTGCAAATTTGGATCCCTTGGGTATTTTGAATGCTGACCTGGACTCAGCGACACCAAAAGAACTCGATCCTAAACATTATGGTTTTGTGGAGGAAGATCTCGACAGACAGTTTTCTTTAGGTCCAGGAATCCTACCTGGTTTTGCGGACACTGTAAAAAGCATGACGCTTCGTGAGATTATTGAGAGTTGCAAAAAAATATATAGTAAGCGGATCTGGCAGTTTTTTTAACGGTGTTTATCGAAAAACCAGCTAAATCAATATACACGGCCATTTAGGTGGAACCATTGGGATCGAGTACATTCATATACCTGATAGAGTTCAGTGCGATTGGATCCGATCGCGAGTGGAGATCCCGGAACCATATCACTATACGATAGGTTGATCTATTTATTATATTGATCCGATCTTTCTAGTCCAAATTAAGCTTCTAACATAAGCATTCCGGAATCATTTTAGAACAAAAGAGAATGATACTGGATCGTTTGTTATGGTCAGATTCATTTGAAAGATTCGTTTCATCCAAATATCCAAATGAAAAAAGATTCGGCTTGGAAGGATGTGAAAGCCTGATTCCAGGAATGAAAGCTCTGGTAAGGACTTACTTTATATGTTTAGATACCTTGTAGGCTGATTTTTGAAGGTGACTACGGAATATGTTTCCCAACGTCTGGATTATTTCATCATGTATCGTATATCCATAAATTTTCTTCTTTTCCTCCCCTTTTCTTTTTCGATACACGATTACTAGTTACCTATTCATATTCAATCTGATACCATCGACTTAATTCATTACTATTGGTAGAGCGTTCTGGAGAATAGGCAATGTTTATATGCGGAAGATCACGGAGATGATAAATGTTGATATAGAATCCCTCATGATGGGTCCCATAACGGTTAAATAACATTTATTTTCTCATTCATATGACAGATCGACAGATCAGTTGATCTTGATATCGAATCGATCGTGATTGGTATGCCTCATCGCGGTCGTCTAAATGTACTTAGTAATGTAGTTCGCAAACCAAATGAGTCTATATTTTGTGAGTTTACCGGATCATTGGAACCCGGTGATGAAGGTTCAGGCGATGTCAAATACCATTTGGGCATGAATTACGATCGACCAACACCGTCCGGCAAGAGGGTTCACCTTTCTTTGGCTGCCAATCCATCTCACTTGGAGGCGGTGGATCCCGTCGTGCTTGGGAAAGTTCGGGCCCTTCAACATTACATGAATGATGAAAAAGAACGTCGTCGTTCCATGGGTTTACTAATACATGGTGATGCAGCTTTCGCGGCTCAAGGGGTTGTTTATGAAACCATTGGACTTCAAGACTTGCCAAATTACACGACCGGTGGAACGATCCATTTGGTGGTAAACAATCAAATTGGGTTCACCACCGATCCTCGGTTCGCTCGCTCAACTCCATATTGCACCGATATCGCGAAGGTGGTGAGCGCGCCTATTTTCCACGTGAATGGTGACGATGTGGAAGCCGTAACATTTGTTTGCCAACTTGCAGCCGAATGGCGTCAAACGTTCGGGAAGGATGTTGTTGTCGACATCGTCTGTTATCGTAAATATGGCCATAACGAAGTAGATATGCCTAGCTTTACTCAACCGAGAATGTACAAGCAAATCGCAAAACAAACTAGCATACTTGAGAAGTATACTCAAAAACTTTTGAACGACGGTACTTTTTCGATGGAAGAAATTCAAAATCATAAGAAATGGGTATGGGATACTTTGACAGAGAGTTACGCATTAAGTAAAGATTATAAGCCTACTAGTCGTGAGTGGCTTTCCAGCTCATGGCATGGTAAGAATGAAATTTTTTATAAAGAAAAGAAACCTTTTTCGACATTATTCGAATATTCAATCTTATTCCAATTATTTTTTAAGGCTTTTTGTCGCCTAAGGAGCTTGCCGAAAAAATTACACCCTCGTATCCGACTGGTTCATCATTGGAACTATTAAAGCACGTTGGTGAGGTTATTAGCTCTTATCCGAAGAATTTCCATGTTCATCCGGGTCTTAATAGAATATTGAAGGCCAGGTCCAAGAACATCGAGGAGGAAAAAAACATTGATTGGTCAACGGCTGAGAGTCTTGCCTTTGGATCTTTACTTATTGAAGGAAAACATGTTCGCTTATCCGGTCAAGACGTTGAGCGTGGTACATTCTCACAACGTCATTCTGTCCTTCATGATCAAGAAAACGAGTCACAGTATGTTCCGTTGAATGATTTGAGACCTGGACAAGCTCTCTATACTGTCTGTAATTCGTCGCTTTCCGAATTTGGCGTTCTGGGATTCGAACTCGGTTATTCTCTGGTTAACCCAAATTCTCTAGTATTATGGGAAGCACAGTTTGGTGATTTTTCAAACAATGCTCAATGCATTATCGATCAGTTTATCTCTTCGGGTGAAAAGAAATGGCTTCAACGAACGGGGTTGGTAACCTTACTTCCTCATGGTTATGATGGACAAGGCCCCGAGCATTCTAGTGGACGCATTGAACGCTTTCTTCAACTTTGCGATGATCATCCATACATCTATCCCCCCCCAGAGAAAATGGCACGCCAACATCAGGATTGCAATATGCAAGTGGTTTATTGTACCACGCCAGCAAATTATTTCCACGTTTTAAGAAGACAGATTCATCGCGACTTTAGAAAACCAGTAATTACTTTCGCACCTCACATGTCAAAGATTCAAGTGGAAATAATTATCAGTGCTAACAATAGTATTTATTCTATTAATAGTTAATCGTATTCACGTCAAAGAGTCTTCTCCGACATCCAATGGCTCGCTCAACACTTGATGAAATGACTGGTGATACCTTTTTCCAGCGATATATACCAGATCCTCACCCGGAGACACTTGCTTCCCCAGAAAAAATTACACGACACATTTTGTGTTCCGGGCAAGTTTACTATGCTTTATTGAAAGCCCGTGATCAAAATAAGATGGATCACGTTGCTATTTCTCGACTTGAACAATTGAGTCCGTTTCCGTATGATTTGCTGTCCCAGCACATTGACACATATCCCAATGCCCAGCTAATTTGGGCGCAAGAAGAACCCTTAAATTCGGGTGCGTGGTCATACGTGGCTCCTCGAATACGAACGCTCATGAATCACTCGGAACGTCATGAAGGTTTGTTGTTTTATTCTTGTACACACTCGTGGTTGAAAAAAATATTTTAATTTTAATCTGCATTTTTTATTTAATAGGTAAAGCCGCTATTCCTTCTACTCGTCTACCATCAGCCTCTCCTGCGACTGGTAACAAAAAACAGCATCTCCAAGAGGAATACAATTTACTATCACATGCTTTGACGGGTCAGGTGAAGAGACCCAGAGAAGTTATTTCCGGCGTACCAATCTGGGATTAAAGAAATAAGAATTCGCTTGCATTTTGTATAAGATGTCTATGTTTACAAAAAATTCTGTATTTCGTTGTGTACACTTATTCGACGCACTTAACTTTCACTGCCTCATGTAAAATTTAGTTTTAAAAATAAGGCTTGCAATAATTAAAAGAAAATAAATCAATTTTATTCTATCATGAAATTTTGGCAAGAAACATATTTACATAAATATAGATATGCCTTTATCAGTTTTATTTGTATCAGTATACTGTGTTTAAAAACTTAATACTTGATGATATCTTAAATTATTTAATAAATAAACAGAATATCTTAAAACTTTGTTTTAATTTGCAATCTTCTGATTTTTTTTTTTTTTTTTTTTTTTTTTGTGTATAATCTGCAGCTAGGTTAGATTGAAAATTTATTAATCAATCGAATATACAAGTATAGATTCATTTGAACAAAATGGTATATACTATAGTAAAATTTCTATTTCTAATCTAATTAACTTGTCATTGGTATAAAAAGTCTCTAAATTTAAACTTGGGAATAATTTGATAATCCATAGTCAACTTTGAATAAAGATTCTTTTAGTCCATATATCATTGTTAACAAGTTATCATTGTTATTACTGATAAATTGTCACTATTAATTATTCTATTAAGCTCTTGAATGATAAAAAATTATACTATATAAAGAAATAATTTAAAGAAATAAAAAGAGATATTTAAAAATGTTTACAAGAAGAAAAAAAAAGAAATTTTGAAAAAATATTATCTAGTTTTTTTCAAAAATCTTTATTTTTAAGATTTCTTTTAATAAAATAATTTAATTAAAATATTCTTATTAATCAAAATTGTGCTATTCAATAATTAAAAAAAAATTTTTTTTTTAAACCACAACTGGTATTAGATACAAATTCTTTTATTAAGATATTACTTAACAGCAGTATAATATCAATTATCTTATATAAGTTATATACATGCAGATTAATGATAACCTAATGTGAGTTATACTAGATAGACCTATTGATATTATATAAGTAAGCAAATCTATTTAGGGACTGGATGGTTAATATATAGTTACAAATAGCAAGTCTAAACTAGTTTTTTTTTTTTAAAAATTCATGATCAGGCCAGTACTATGTATTATTAATTATTATAAAAACTAATAGAAATATATAAGACAATTGCATCATGATTAAACTAAAAACTTATACTAATATACTCATCAATGACTTTCAATTCTCAAAAGAACTTCAACTTTTAAGTACAATCTTGGAAACAATATTTTACTTTATGATAAATTTTGAATAAATATCTTCCTAATTTATCTATCACTACTAGCAGATTGTCACTGTTTATTATTATTTAAGGAACAGAATTTGAGAAATTACAAAAAGAAAAAGGGAATATCTAAAACTGTGTAAATATACTATATAAAAAGGAAAAATAAAAAAATAAAAATAAAAATGCATCATGTTCTCCAAAGGACCTCTGCTAGAAATCTTTTCTCATTAAGAGTTAATCCTTCTAAAATATTTTTCTTCTTTTTGACCATCTGATGAACTTATCTATTCGTACTTTTGATTATTTTTTTGTGACTGTCTAAGATACTTATCACCTATTTGGATTCAGTATCACTAGTCAAAAAAATATTATTCAGCATATTGATACTCATATAATATTCAATAAAAAATAAACAATTCAGTAAAAAAATGACATAAATAAATTAGCAATTATATAATTCAGCTATAAATATTACAAAAATCAATATATTAACAATTTGTCAAAAAATTAAAACACTTTCCTCAAAAATTTTCAGATTCCCATAATTTCTTTTTTAGGAAATTACACAAAGAAAAGAGACAACATCAAATGTAAGGAACATACTTTTATAACAATAACACAAATATTAAAACAATCCAACATAAGACAAAACTGTGCTAGATACTTTAAATTAGGCAATAGTTAAAGACTTTTATTCTTATCAGTTGCTTTACCTCCTTAACTTATAGGGAAGGGAATAAACAAATAATAACTGATTCACAATTAAAAAAGGAGAGTCAATATCAACTTTACAAAGCTTGTAGCCAGGCCAGTGCAAGTTAATACTTTCTTGATACTATAAGGAACCTTGGAAAGAGATAAATCAGTTTAATAAATTAAATAATCTCAAATCTTCCAAGATTTAGAAGGATATCAAAGCTTCATAAGATTTAAACAGCTTAATATATAGACCTTCAATTCCTCAATATCAAAACATATTAACAAATAATACAAATATGTACATGTATAAGGATTAGCTTTTAAAACATGTTCAATTAAAATCTATTATAGCAGTACAACAAAACTACTATATTTATAAGATCAATAATCATAATAAAACAATATCAAGTGATTACATAAACAACATTCTAAATATAGATAGCAAATCAATCAAAACAAGTAAATAATATCAATACTAAATAATAAATAATAACACGAGTCCTATCCATATCAAAACAGATCAGTAAGCTTAATAATAGTCACTGAAATAGTATTAAGAACAAAATTAATCTGCTTATATGACCACTTATAGTATAATACAATACAATTATATAACAATAATATTAATCTATATATATTAACTATTAGAATAAAACAAAACAAATACTTTAGATAGTAAACAAAAGAGAAGAAAATATTATTGATATACTAGTTCAACTAATAAAGAAGTATGATAAAATGGATCAATTATGGATTATACAACAAATTATTCAACAAAAAGACACAAATCTTCACAATAATATAATAATAGTTGCTTCAGAAACATGTACCATATTGGATAACATCATTGCCAGAATCCTAGGAATAGATAAAACAATATTTCACAAAGAGTAAATCCTTATACAACATACTACTTATATCTGATATAATGAAAAGGAAAGGAAAAGGAAAAGGATCTATTTCAACCCTATATAAAAGATAGATATCTAGATATAATCAAGGAAAAGTCATCAAGAATGCAATCTACTCCAATAAAGATTATTACTAAGTTAGAAAATGAATTAATATTAAACAATGAAATAATAAGGATGGATAATCAAAAATAAAAAGAGATAGAAGTAAAAACACTTAAAGGCAAAATTCAAGGCCATAATATAATCAATATAGCTTCTATATAACAAAAAACAAACAAGCAGTCCCATTACTAAATCTCTACTTTGTAAATAAGAAAGATAAATATAAAGTAGGGGTAATGACAACCAATATTCTAGAAGATAATAAAAAAGAGACCAAAGCATACTTGGATAGTATCCTGAAATTGCTATGAAACAAATATAACTTTTTACAAAAAGAATTTATTAATGAAAATGAATAGTTAAGTTTTTATCTGAAGGAAGAATAATATCTTCTCAAATGTCTAGAAGAAATAAATAGAAAAGAAGAGGCTTTCTATTTACAATAGCTTGAAAACAAAATCAATAATCAAATACAAAATATAGAAATATTAGATAAGATGACCTTTTAATTAATGAGAGAAGGAAAAGAAAAAGATATATGGCATATAGCTTAATAGATATAGAACACAAAACTCCTTGTTACCTTATAAAAAAATATTTAAATAGATATGGTGAGGTTCAAAACATATATTTTTATAAGATTAAAACAAAACAAGAGTCAAGGCTTATATCAAGTGGCATAGTTACTAGAAAATAAATCCAAAAATCTTATGAATGATCTCCCTAGGAACAGAAACTACTAGGGCTATCTTTTTCAAGGAAGAATTAATAGACAGAAAAATTAATATTATCCTAATAGAATGGAACCAAAACTCTGTAAGGTTATTAGATACTAATAAGATTTACTTAAGTCTGATAGTCAGAACACTTAATGGTAGGGATCACAATTTTTATCCGAATCTAAATGATTCACGGATTTGATCTGAACGGATCAGATTGGATTTTAAATTTTTTGATCTATTTGTATATGAATCAGATCGGATTTCAAATTTTGAAATCCGATTCGATCGGATTCTAAATTTTGTATCCGATCAGATTTCAAGTTTTAAAACCTAGTCAGGTCAAATAAAAATCAGCAGTTTAACTATATTTAAATATAGCTATTTAAGGTAATTAAAAAAAAAACACCCTGTTTTTTTTTTTATATTCCTTTAACACCTTTTAAAATTTTGTGATATTTTTTATAATATTTTTCTCTTGCAACATTACTGGTATTGTTTATATCAAAATAAAATGAAATACAATAGTTCTTTCAATGATTTCAATAAAATAAATGATGAAAGTATTAGTTTAGATAGCTATGAATTGAGCAATACTAATAATGTTACTACAAGCAGTTTTTTGGAGGTATCATCGAGTAATAAAATAAATTATAGAAGTAAAGTATGGAACCATTTTACAAAGGATTCTAATATCAATGAAAGTAAAAAAGTTTCTTGCAATTATTGCAGCACCAAATATACCTGTAGTGGAGACAGCACCTCTAATCTTTTCAAACACTTAGAAAAAAACCACCTGATAAAAATAAATCCAACTTCCGATA